AATAATAAATAGTATAAAACAGCAAACATGTAAAAATCAATAGGAATGAATGCAAAATGAAAAGGCGTTAAGTACATGATACGACTACATTTTCATTACCGTATTTCCTCTATTAAGCCCCCAACTTTTATTAAGGCCCCTTCTTATAAGCCCCCATTCCGAGGCGCCTAAAATTAAATAAGCCCCCAGCCTCTAAAGGGTCCCGCCTCTATGGAACGATGTGGTCCTTTCCCTCGTTAGGCCTTTGAAAGTCATTTCACCTGTCGAGCCTTATGAGTAACAGTAATTATGAATTTTCAAAAGATCTGGAAAATGTATTAAGCCACCAGGTTCTAATAAGTCCCCCCTTCTAATAAGGGATGAGGGTAAAAAAAATTGTCATTTCACGGGACCCGATTTAGGGGGGAGGGGTGGTGTTACCTGGTACCCACCACCTCTGGAAGTGAAATCTTAGATTTTGTCCCCAAATATCTCCAAAACTAAAAGCCAAATTACAGAAATAAATGGACTATCTGTCTGCATGTATGCTAAAAAAACGTATTTGTGTATAGAAATTGCTGCTACAGACCCCCAGTATCGAGCATTTGAACAGATCGCTGGGGGGAGGGGGTATGTACCGGTACCCACCACCATTGTTTTGACCTCGCCCCTAAGTCCCCAGTCCACAAGCACTGTAAAAGAATAAGCCCCCACGGATTCAATAGAAGAAACGCGGTATGACAAAGCTAACCCACAGTGCATAGGGTAGTGGATGACAAGATGTCTATTGAAGAATGGAGAAAGGCAAAATGTATACCTAGGAGTGGAGGAGTAGGGGAAATCCTGCAAGATTTCAACAAGGCTAGGGGCAGGAATTTAAAATATACGATAAAACATTTGCTAAATATGTATACCATTATCTACAAAGAGGATAAGATTCAAGCTTGATTATAAACTAGTACGACCTATATGTTGAGGCTTTTGTTCACAATTTCCCTCTCACATAATTTACACACTCGATAATTGTTTGTTATCGACCCTATTCATATATACTTATGAATATCAGAGCACATCCTAATATACCAAGGGGT